GAACACCCACTCCTGCCGGAAACTGTCACGCAGAGATTCCAGAAGACGTGTTTCCGTTAAGGAGCTTTTATGTTGGAAGCGATCACGAAGCAACCACTGTCGGAATCTGCTAGTGACTAGAGGAGACATGTCTGAGGGGCTCCGTCACAGACAGAGGTTTGTGGACTTGAACAAACTCTGAGGGGATACGATTTTACGCACAAGCAGCTCATCATCCCATCACAGTAATGTTTAGAAGATATCTGAACGCAGTCCTGTATCAGGAAGTTTTTAATGTTTGATATTTTACTATGCTTTATTTATATATGTTGTAAGTCAGCCAGAGTGGTTGAGGAAACCCAGCCAGATGGGCAGGGTATAAATAAGAAAATGATCATCATCATCATCTAGCTGAATATTGTCTACACCGGCTGGAAGGAGCGCTTTCAGAGGAGTCTTTCCTAGCCCTACTTGCAGGGACTGAACCTGAGACATTTTGCACACCACAGCTAAGCATTTCCACCTGAGTTGCTATTCTGAGTGTGCCTCCAGTAGGAAACAACCATGGGCCACCACCTGAGGGTGGGTGACCCAGCTGCATCTCTGCATCAGGAGTGATCAGTTGATCCACTTACACTTAGAGGTACACAGTATGGCAGCTACTGTTAGATAGTAATCAGTTCAGTCTAATGCACACATTGCTGCAGTATTCAACTTCAAAATCTATAATGTGCGTGTAGGTAAGATAGATAGATAGATAGATAGATAGATAGATAGATATAGATAGATAGATGATAGATACCATGGTGTCAGACATGATGTACAGGCGTCCTGAAGCTACAGCCCTGCATGAGGTGTGAATTACTGCTTTTTGTCTCTGTGGGAAGTCAGCTCTGTAGCCTAATGACAACACTGCCAATATCACCACAATTTGCTATTTCAGTACTGATCTAATCATATGTGAAAGAAATAGGGCAATCACACTTATGAATTTCTGCATATCCACTCCAGGCAGAATATGTGTGTTACAGAACCTGATTATCTTAAGGTCAATTTGGGGACCAACATATTCAGTCTTCTCAGTCTCATCTTTATGTATTGCGTCGGAACAACAATGTAAGCTAAAAGATATTGTGGTCCAAAGGACTGTGTTGGTTACTTGCCTATCCAAAGAAAGAAAAGCAAAATAACAACAACTCTCAGGTTCTAATGTGTTCTTGACTTCTAATGCAGACTAAGAAGAATTTGAATCTGGACCAGGGAGGTAAAAGCATTACCAGCCATTCTTAAATGCTGCACTGGGCCACCCTAAGGTGCTGCTGCACCCTGCAAATAAATTAATTGAGGAATGAAAGGCTCCTAAAACACCAAGTATTAGGTGATGCACAATTGGGAAGGGACTGAAGCTCAGTTGCAGATGGAAGCTCACAGGTTCAGTCCGACATCTCCAGTTAAAAAAGATTCAGGGTTATGTGAAAGACCCTTCTCTGCCTGAGACCCTGGATAGCCACTGTCATTGCATTGTAGTAGACATCACTGTGCTAGATGAACAAATAGTCTGACCTGGAATAGGGCAGCTTTCTGTTATTCGCTGCTCTAGAAAGCCCTCTTCCAATCAGCTCTGTGTGATTCGATCAATCACTCCAGAAATAGAGATGCAGATAGGTCTTCTCAGTACATACACATTCAATGTAAAAGGCACATGAATAATCATCCATTTGATGATCTTCAAGAGCTCTGCAAGCATTTGATGTGGAAATATTCTCTTTATGAAATTCATAATGTTTGAAGCAGCCCTTAAAACAGTAGAGGACATCTACATAATAGTTTATTATTTGGGGTTAAGGTGAGTCAGCCATGGGAGTAGGTCTCTGAACAATGGAGTACAGGGAAGTAAGGAGGGGTTGCATTTGCTCCGCTCTGTGACTGAAGTAGACTCACCCCCACAACCCTCTCTTTATGGCCAACCCAGCAAGTGCATGTTTAGCAAACAGACACACATCTGGTTTGGCCCTCACCTAGTGATTTCATAGAGCTTAAAGACTAAAATCTTACTTAATTTGTATTTTATCTCTGGTTCTGCCATTTGTCAAGTCCCTGTGACTTTTTAAAGCAATCTGGAAAACCGGTTTTTTAAATAATCTCTTTTATGAGTTGATTTGACATCTCATTTATATATCTATGTCCACAGTATGGGACAAAAACACAAACGAGGCAACCAAAATATAGGGCCACAGCTGGCAGAATCACAGTCTTCTATCATATAATGAGGAATTGGGGCTTATAGTTAGAAAATAGTTCAACAGAACTGATTTGAAACCTCTCAGTGTAGGAGATGTACAATTGATAATGGTTCCTGCTGAATTTGGGAATGTACAGATAAGAAATTACTTATTTTGAATAAGCTGAACATTTGATAAGAGACTTCAGGATGTTGACAGATGGTGTGATTTTTTTTCTTTCATAGACTATGCTTTGGTGGTTTTTCTGGAAAGATTTATCAATTTGCACTGCAAGCTTTGGAAAATGGGCTGCTGTCTAGGTGAAAAGGAACATCTAATATTTGCTTTTGTCTAACAGTAGTAGTTATAGTAATACAAATGTCAAAAAACAATCAAATTCAATTAACAAAAAACTTCATGGTTCAATATGTTGCATTAAGGGATGTGCATTCAAGCTCCAAAATGCTGGGAAATGGCAGCTTTTAAGGACACATTACCGTATTTTTCCATGTATAAGACGCCCCGTGTATAAGACACCCCCTATTTTGGAGGACTAATTAAATTAAAGAGAGAGATTGCGCAGAGTTGTTGAGCTTTTTTTGGGGGGGGGGATGCCTAAGAACTCTCACCCGCCTGGACAACAATTCCTATCGCACGTGAAGCAGAAGCAACCTATCGTTTTACCGCTCGCAGACAGCACACACCAATCACACGCCCAACTGCGGCAGCAGTGGCCAACTGACAGCAGCCATTGCCGCAGCCACCAATCACCCGCACTAACGCCGGTGCCAATATACTGCTCGCGGCAGCAAACAATCCCCCCTACCTGTGTCTAAGATGAGCCCAATTTTTTAACGTTATTTTCACATAATAAAAGTTCATCTTATACACAGAAAA